GGCGGGCGAGCGGACAGACCTACAAAAGGACAGCGACCGCCACAAAGAGCAAGCAACCGGGCCGTCGCCGCGGGAAAGTGCGCCTGCGCGGACCGAACGCGAACTACTACTCCCGAGAGCCTTTGTTTGGCTCAGGCGTAGAGTTTCCTTTCCCAAGGGCTCCAGGCAGGCCCAGGACAGACAAAAGTGTAGCACAGTTTTCTGGGAAATGTAGTTCCGGAGCCGTAGAGTGCTGGAGAGTGGCGCAGGTGGAATTTGCCTGTCAGTTGGTCGGCGTCTTCAGCTTAGTCGGTTAACCTTTCTGAAAGAAAGGCCCAGGCCCCTGTTTCTAGGAATACTGGCAGAAGTGGACGGTCCCTTGAGGGGCTTCCCCGCTGTCCTCCGGAGTCAAGCACCTGAGGGCGGTGAGAGGGGCCCCTAAAGTTGACAGAATCCCCTACCTGTTCTTAGGCAGGTAGCCCTGACCAAAGTCCATCCTCAGGCTCAGGGGAGGGTCTAGGTGTCGGTCTAGTCTTGACCAGTGACCGAACACTGCCAACATCCCCCCTTTTTTGTTGTTTTGAGACAGGGTCTCCTTTTGTAGTTCAGGCTGGCCTTGATCCAACTATGTAGCCTCCGCAGGCCTTGAATTCGTGGCAATCCTCCTGTTTCAGCCTCTTGACTACTGAGATTATAGGGGTGTGCCGCCACACGGGTTCATCACCCCTCATTTTGATTCCAGGTCAGTTTGGGCCATAACCTCTACCCAGCCACCTGTGTGCCAGACTCTCCCCTGTGGTGGCTAGCATCCAGCATGGCTCCGGTAAGTCTTGTCTCCTGGTTTCACATCTCATGTGCTATTTTCCATATTACATAGGACTGGCCTATAGAACAAAAATAATATTGTATTGCCAGGTGTAGTGGTGCACACCTGTAATCCCAGCATTCAGGAGGTTGAAGCATAAGGATCGCTGTGAGTTCAAGTCCAGCCTGGGCTACATAGTGAGTTCAAGGCCAGCCTGAATTACAGAGTAAGACCCTGTCTCAACAAGATGATGATGATAATAATAATAATAATAATGATAATAATAATAATATTGAGGGGTTATTGGTATGTGAATCATGAAGCTAGGTCACAAGACATACTGCCCCTTCTTCCTTGCTCTCTTGGATCACTTGCTCTGGGGAAATGAACACCATGCCCTAGAGACACTAGAGCAATCTGTGGCGAGATCTTCATGGAAAGAAACTGAGGCTTCTTCTTCCATCCTCTGCCAGCTTGCCGCCCACAAAAAGGATTGGCTTTGGAAACGAAGCCCAAGGCCCTCACTGATATCTTGATTGCGACCTCATGAGAAGCCCTCAGCCAAAACAGTACATGTAGCTAGACATGGGGTAAAATAAAGTTTCATGCTTTAAACCACTTGTTTGATGGGAGGATTCTTTGTTGCACAATAGTAGATAACAAATACAGATAAAAAGTTCAAATAACTAATGTCGATAACTAATTCCAGTATTTGGAAATAGAGTTAATATTTTTTGAGCTAATATTTTTAAAAAGTGGAAAAGCACTGTGCAGGCAGAAATCCAGCCAGATGCAGAAGCCAGAAAAAACTTACTTGAAAAGAGTGTTGGGGAAAGCACAGACGCCTTTGAAGGATCTATTAGAGGAAGGCTGGTGGTCTCTAAGGAGGCTTCAAGGAAAGGGAGGACAGTGTGTTTCCGAAATCAGAGGTAAGGGGATCCCTGTCTGGGTCACCCTTTCCTACCTGGCAGAAATGTGGCAATGTGATTACCTCCAGTAACATAGAAAGTAGAAAATACACCTAATGAATGAAATGATGCTCTAGCTAAGATTTCCAGCAAGAGTGCCAAGGAGGCCTCCTGACTTCTTGCTGTTTTGTAAAAGAAGAGAGAAATCCACCATTAAATACAGCCAGGACAAAAAAAAAGAAACAAACCCAAGGATCAGTTGAATAAATAATTAGGTGCAGAAACAACTCCAAACTCCAAATTATTAGATGCATCCACCTTATAATCAACAAAGGAGCCAAACACTTTCATGGGAAGATATAGCCTTTTTAATAAATGGCACTGGAAAAACTGGCTTTCCACATACCAAAGATTGAAACTAGACCTATGTCTTTCACCATGCACAAAACTAAAATATAAATGGATCTAAGATCTAAATTTTAAAACAGAAACACTAAATCTTCTGGAAGATAGAATAGGTAGAACTCTTGAAGACACTGGTATAGGCAGAGGTTTTATGAACAAAGCCCTGACCACACAGGAAATATCACAAAAAGTCAACAACTGGGATCTCATTTAAAAGCTTTTGCACAGTGAAAGAAACCACCAACAAAGTAAAGATACAACCTTCAGTGTGGGAAAAAAAATGTACCAGCTTTTCCTTTAACAAAAGACTAATATCTAGAATATGTGAAGAACTCAAAAAAATCAGGCCCCTCAAATTTAAAGACCCAATCCAAAAATGGGCATCTGAAATGAGCAGGCACTGCTCAGAAGAAGAAATGGCAAATAATATATGAAAAAAATGCTCAACCTCACTGGTCATTCATGAAATGCAAATTAAAATACTGAGATTCCATCTCCCTCTAGAAAAAATGGCTGCTATCAAGAAATCAACCAGTGACAAATTCTGGTGGGGCTGTGGGGAAAAAGGAACTCTTCTCCATTGTTGGTGGGAGTGCAGACAGACAGTGCAACCCCTGTGGAAATCAGCGTGGAGATTCTGCAAAAAACTAAAATTAGAGGCTCCATTCAACCCAGCGGTTCCCCTCCTTGGTATCTTCCCAAAAGAATTAAAAGCATCCTACCACAGCACTATATAAACACCCATGTTTACAGCAGTACAGTTTGTACTAGTTAAATCTTGGAAACAGCCCACATGCCCATCAACCAATGGATGGATGAAGAAAATGTGAGTTTTAAAAAAATACAATGGAGTACTACTCTGCCATAAAGAAGATAAACTTGAGCTATTTCTAGCTAAACGGATACACCTTAAGACCATAATCTTAAGTGAGATAAATCGGACACTTTGTTAATATACCACATTGTTTCTCTGGTGTGAGAAACCATAAGCAGAAATAAGGATCAAGAGTGTAACAGATATGAGAAGAGGTACAAGGGGCAGGGGAGAGGGAAAGGCAAGAAAGGACAAGGAAAAAAGAAAATAGAAGGAAAAACATGAAAACAAGGCTTTTGTAAGTGGGGGGGTGGGAAAAACAAGAAGCGAGATATATCATATAGAGGTGTAAATTTCCTACGATGGACATTACCTTTATGTATATCTAAAAGGTACCCATAAAGATTCTGCTTCAAAAAAGAAAAAGCCAGACTGAACCACATAGTGAGGCCCCGACTCAGACTTACATGTATACATACATTATAGCCAGGAATTTCCAAGATTGAAATATCCCAGCTTTTCAGAAGTGGCAGATGCCATTTTTAATTTATTAAGGAATGGCCTTCACGGTGGTGCATGGCTGTAAGCTCAGCTCTCGTGTACTCAGAAGGCTGAGGCAGGTAGATTGGGAGTTCAAGGCCAGGCTGAACTATAAGGTGTGACTGAAAAAAGCTATTGTACATTATCATTAATACCCTGCAAAACAAAAACTCCTGCACACTCCAAACGCCTGCCCCATCAGTCTGCGTTCGTGAGCGTCTTTAGTTGCACTGCCGTGGCTACCTTGACGTCCTGAATCAGTTCCAGATGTTTGTCTTTCATGGCCATTTCTACTCTGGAGAGGAACCGCAAGTCACTTGATGCCAGGTGTGGTGAGTAAGGCGGATGGCCCTTCGCAGCAGCACTCACCGTATATATTTTTAAATCACACCCCATAAAGACACTCATGAGAGAGAATTTGCAGAAGTGCTCCAGAAAGTGGCTAGAACAATAGGACAGTGTGTTCAGAACGGGAGAAGGGTTATTTTGAGGTTGGTTCATGGTAATGTATCTTCTACTGTAATATATTTTTAAAGATTTACCATAGGGGCTGGGGATTTGGCTCAGTGGTGCCTCACAAGTACAAAGGGCCGAGTTCGATCTCCGGTACCAAAACCAAAACCAAACAAAGATTTACAATATATTCTGCTCACCCCTTGTACATAGTGAGGTCTCAAAAAAAAAGAAAAAAGAAAAAGTACTCAGCTGGGAGTGCTGGAACAGGCCTGTAATCTCCCAGCACTCAGAAGCCTGAGGCAGGAAGATCACTGCTAGTTCGAGGCCAACCTGGACAACATTATGAGTTCAGAGCAAACCCAAAGTTTAGTGAGAACCTATCTTGAAAAAAAAATCACCATTAAAATTTTCCACAGTCAAGAAAAGATGGTAAAAAGTAAAAAAAAACAAAAAAACAAAAAAAACAATCAATATCATTAGCCAGTTGGGAATTATACAAACCACAATAAATACAACTAGAATGACTATAATAAGAAAGGGATTGGGCCGGGGATTTAACTCAGTGGCACCCCACCTGCCTGGCAAGCACAAGG